GTTTGGGGGCCTCCATCAGAGTGTGAAGGGTGTAGCTGGGGTTTGGGGGCCTCCATCAGAGTATGAAGGGTGTAGCTGGAGTTTGGGGGGCCTCCATCAGAGTGTGAAGGGTGTAGCTGGGGTTTGGCGGCCTCCATCAGAGTGTGAAGGGTGTAGCTGGAGTTTGGGGGCCTCCATCAGAGTGTGAAGGGTGTAGCTGAGTGCCTTTGCTCTCTCTCTCAGGTTTCCGTCTGTCAGGAGATGCTGACGGAGTTCCGTAATGCCGTATCCTGTAAGAAGAATTCTAGATCCCGTCGTCGCAGACCCCTGACCAGCACTGGGGGCGGAGTCCTACGTCACCCATCCCGCCTGACTCTGGCCGGTCCCCGCCCCATCCGCCTGATTCGAGAGATGCGTCTCAGCAACGGGAAACTGTACAGTGGCGCCGGCCCAATGACGGGCGGGTTGGCAGGGGTCGGGATGGGAGGATGCCCCGATCTGGGCCCGGGGCCACAGAGGCTCCTGGAGGACCCGCTGGGCACCAAAACCTCTACCACCACCCCCCCTCCTGCGTCAGCCCTAGTGGCTCCGCCCGCCCCCCCGCGCAGCTTCCTGCAGGCCTGCAGTCACGTACGCATCTGCCAGGAGTGCCGGCGGATCCAGAGCCTGCGACCGGCCGCGCTTACCCCACCCCCTCCCCCTCCGCCCTCCTCGTCCTCCTCCGCCTCCTCCTGCTCCCGGGTCCCGCCCTCAGTGGCGATGACAGGCCTTCACCCCCGTCACAGCGCTCACCATCATCTCCATTATCACCACGGCTCCATGTCGCTGCCCCGCCTTCCGCCGCCCCCTCCCCCGATGCCGACGGACAGAGCTGACAGCGACGGGGGCGTGGCGAGCCCGCAGCGGTACAAAAACAAACCTGTGCCCCCGCCCCGGCCGCTGCCCCCCAACAAGACCCCGACACACCCACCGACAGACTTACTCAGCGGACACGACTGAGCCTAAGGATGCTGTCTGTGGGGTCAAAGGTCACAAACTACTCATTGACCCCAAAGCTGTACTGGTCTAAACTGGCTCTTCAGCAGGGGTCAAAGGAGGAAACCATTCTGACCCCTTTGTGGGGGTCATCCATTAAAGCAAAGACACGTCAGTGGACTGCACCAAACCTTTACGGGGGTGAGCGGATTGACCCGCTCTGAGGATGGAGGACTACTCACGGACTTTTTACCTTTTGGATTAAAGCAGACAAACAGGAAGTGACTGTCTGAGGCCGACCCACCCTCAGCCAATCGTCTCGATCCATGCCGAGCAACGAGGACTCAGACAGGCTGAGGTTTGATACTGATCCAGGTGTTTGTATAGACGAAACGCTACAGATACACACACTCACACAAAGTGGAGAAGAAGAAAAACTAAGTCTGTGATTGTATTTCCTGTCCTGTTGTCCAATCAGAGGAGCTTCTCCTCCTCCTCGTCCCGATCCTGAAGCTGATGTCACAGCGATCTGATCGCCGAGTTGTCTCATTTCTAAAGGTCACCTGTCAGCTGCCGGCGGCGCTGAGCTCCATCGCTGAATAATTTGGACCTGCTGTACAAAAAAACAACCTGTTGACTTTTTCCCTTTTTTACTATGACATGAACGAACAGCTGCTGCAGTTGTTACACACATCTGTATTTGTTTTATCATTTAATCATTTTATTTGTATTTTATAACATCATTTTTATATTTTTATTTTATTTTATTTTTGTTAGCATTTTTTTCCTTTTTATAACAAAGAAAATATAAAGTTACAATTACAAAATATATCATTATAGTTTGTTGACATGCAGGAAGTGAAGCAGCAGCTGAAGAGAAAGTGCGTGTGTGCGCGTGTGTGCGTGTGCGTGCGCGTGTGTGCGTGCGCGTGTGTGTGTGTGTGTGTTTCCTGATGTTTTCCCCTCAGATCAGCAGGACATTATTGATTCTCTTGTTATCATTATTATTATTATTATTGATATTGACTTGTGGGGTGACTGTAGGAGGGGTGCCGCCCTCTGATGTTCAATATATAGACTCATGTTTGTAATAAATAAATAAAAAACTGAAAGGTGTGTTGAGGTGCCCCGGGTGGAGGAGGTGAAGGTGGGGTTGGGCTGCTGGTCACAGAGCAGCACACAGGGTTTGTTTTGTTGTTTGATTCCCAATATTCCATGTTTTTGTGATCAGCTGTTCATTCAGAACTCGAGGGATGGGGAATTCGTTTAGCGCCGATTAGGAATGTCCTGTGGACGCGCACATCCAGTGTAACAGCAGCCACGGATGCAGCGTGAGCTGGGTGGACGAGGTTGAGTTCCTGGTGTCTTTCAGCTTTAACTCTAATCCTGCATTTTTATTTTATTTGTGCACGTTCTCCATCAAAGCCAGAACCCAGCAGAGAGCGTTTACATCCAGCCACGTTGCCACGACAACAGCAGGTTAGTGACTGTGAGCAGAAATGAGCCCCGTCACATGTGACGGGACAGAAATCACCTCTGACATCATTCATGAGGACACCTGCAGGGATGCTGCAGTAACAGAGTGCAGCCAGCAGAGGGCAGTGCAGACTAAGGAAAGCCACAGCTGAGGCAGGCGTGTTCACATCAGCAGGTAAGAATGTGGAAGTTGGAGCGAGTCGTTCCTTAATGTGACATTTATTTATTTATTTGTTTCACACATGGTTCAACAGTGTTTCATTCCCTACTTACAAATCCTCCTCCCCATTAATATAGCGCTGCACCCATGAGTGAAAAGCAGCAAACGCAGCTCTGTGTCCTTTAAAAATAATCGTTAGGATGGATTTAAAGTGATCCTGACCTGTTCCTATCAATGATAATGATTCTTCATTCAAAAATAAGGTGTGATGCACAAACAGTGTAGGAAACTCTGAATGAAAGGCAGTTCAGCTGGTTGTGCTTCAGAGCAGACGTCATGACTGGGTTATCTCTGGAGGTTATGAGGTTTTCCTCAAAAGATAATTCAGATGATGAAGTTCATTAAAAGAACTGAAACTTCTGCTCTTTAGCTGTGTGATGCAAACGGGTCTTTATTTAACCCCGAGTGGCCTCGGCAGGAGGAAAGAGTCCAGCTTTAGAGGACGCAGCAGAAGTCTGATGGACGTGCTTACTGAAAGGTCTTTTTCTTGTAATACATGCACTGACTCTCCGTCTGACACAAGCCGTCCACACAACAATAATAAAGACTGAAACAAAGAGAAACCAAAGTCAGACTGACTGTGGAAACTCACTGACACTAAACTGACTTAAGATCAAGTTTATTTCTAAAATCCACAAAGACAGTAAACTGTTCAGTTTACAGCACTTTTCTTCATCTTCTCCATCACGCTGGCTGTGAGCACTGTCATCAAACTCACCTGAATCAGTGAGAATGAGGACTTCCAGCGTAGCAGCTGCTAACATGTTGGGGAGTTTTAAAGCCTGCGTAAGCTACCAGGTGTACCTAATGAAATGGCAGATGCATGTTAACTTGACAGCTATGGATGAAAATGTACCTGAACTTCCCTCCACCAGGCTGATGTTAGTGAGAAACATGATGGAGTGATCACAGCCGTGGGAACAGGGTCATAAATAAAACCATGTGACCATGTGATCAGCCGTGACTGGAGCTTTTTGATGGCGGCCCGCTGTAGCGTGGTGTCGTGACAGCGAGCCGGGCTTGGACAGTTGCGTTTTTCAGTGAGGAGAGAAGCCGTTAACCCGAGGAGGCGCTCGGCCATGTTCACGCCTTCCTCCTCCTCCTCCTCCTCTCCTGTGGGTTTGTGTACCTGTGTGAGGGAATCAGACGGCGCTGCTGGGAACAGGACGGACGATGCTGACTCGCAGGTTTCAGCAGAAAATGTTGCACAAACAAATGTTCCAAAGAGCAGGAAGTGACATCAGCAGGCTGCTCCTGTGAGTGCCTCCTCCTGCTGGTCGACGCCCACGGCTCGTTCACTTACAGTCACTGGTTTCTTTAATAGCAACATGACAGGTTACGGCGTGGAGGACGTGAGTCACAGACGTTTGTGTTTGACAGCAATAATAAAATGTTTCGCTGCGTCCTCTGCAGTGAAAACCACCAGACAAGCATGATGTCATCTTTATTCATCATCTGTCATTTTTTATTTTGGGCTCCTGGAGGCTGATATGGCAACAATAATACAAATATAATTATTAATAATAAGGCTCGAGCCGCGGGTCCCGGACTCGAGCTCGGGCTGTACGGCTGAGAGCGGCCGGCCCGGGCTCGAGTCCGCCGTCTTTACCGCACGTCTCTCTGCTCCTGACACTTCTTCACTGCATCTGTGAATAAAGCTAAGAACAGAAAACATCTCAGCCTGCAGATTCAGCGTTCTCGGTGGCGCTTCAATAGAAACGGTCTCAGACATAAATATCTGAACACATTTCTGTCCTGAGACAAAGCACAGGTTTGAAATCTGTCTCTTAGAACGTCGCAGGTTTCCTCTTCACGATGAAGATGATGATCTACTGAAACTCCTGCAAACAGTGAAACAATCCAAACACAGCTGCCTGCAGGTCAAAGGTCAGCCCGCTGCGCTGTGGTGAGGTCACAGTTGGTACTTTTTTATCACACACGTGTACTTCTACTTCACTGAAGAGTATATGTACTTCTGCACCACGTGTCATGTGACCCACGCAGGGTGTGGCTTAGTTCCAGTTCAGCTGAATCCTCTCGTATCGGCTCTTCACACAGCCGTGACCACAGCTCCTCTTCATGTGTGATCATCTGATCACAAACGCGATGCGCAGACGTCTGTCGACGTTCGGAGCTGCAGATCTGAGATCTTGTCAAAACTGACAAAATAAAATTTGCTATCAGATTTGAATCCAGCACCAAAACCATCACAAACATCTGACTGACAGCAGCTTCATGTTTCAGCACGGCAACGATCCAAACACGCCGCCAGCGCAGGGAAGCACGCCTGGACAGAAACACACGGGGGAACTATCAGAGCCTCAGCATCACTGAAGCTTCATCCTGACAGCGAACACGCCGGCGTCCTTCAGGAAGCCCAGAGAAATGTTCCCGAGGATCCTCACAGAGCTCACACTGAGCTCCAGATTAAAGGTGCTCACAGCAAATATTCAAACTCTGTTTTTAACTAAATACACATGAATGTCTGAATAAATCTCTGCACGTATTTCATACTTTACTGCAAAACAGAAAGAAATGAGGGGCAGATGAAGACTTTTGCACAGCACTGTACTAGAAGGAACCAGAAGGAACCCAGGAAGATGAAAGCGTGGTGAGCAGGAGACCTTTGATGACACGAGCTTTGAAGGTTTTCTGCAGAATTATGAAGAAACAGATCAAAGGTCCGACTCTGCATTTCACGTTAAATTGGTGCAGTTTACTGAACACGACACACATGCTGGCAATAAATCAGTGACACGCCCCCTCAGGCTGTCAGTCGGTGATTAATCACACGCATCATTTCCTCAAATATGCAAATGCAGACGTCACATGATGCAACACTGCTTCCAGAAATAAATGTGGTGTAATGATTCTGTAAGTTCGCCTTTTTTAGGAGAAGCTGGTGGGAGTCATGACAAGAGCAGGTGAAAGGTCACGATGAATGTGGTGTGCACGCAGCTGTGAAGCTAAAGATGGAGTGCACATTAAAGGCACTGGGCCTCGCTCCGTCTGCTGCAGCCGCTCAGCGATGCTGCGGCGCTGGGATGGCACATGTTTGCTCAGAGAGACCAGTTTGTTTCCCCAGAGGAGAAACTGGGACTGCTGTGGAGGCCAGCAGCAATAACCTGAGCTCAGGCTCATATTAATCTGCTGCTTCGAAGAATAATTCTGACCTCAGTTCAGGAGATGAGCCTTGGTGACGTTTTATTAGGTGCAGATGATGATGCGGTAACTTTGCTTCACATTTTCATTTCTTTGATGAGGGGACACGTTCTCAGACGATAAATCATAAGCATGAGTTCATATCTCAAGTCTGAAGCTGCAGACATGGATGTAAATGTCCCTGCGCAGCATCCAAAGCCTACGACTTTCTTCACCTCCACCTTTGGTGGGAGACGCCCCTCCCGGCTGCTGCAGTCAAATACAACAGGGAAACATGGCGGCTCCTCAAACGGCAGACCCGCTCCTCAGCATTTTAGTAAATGATAACTTTAATTATAGGATGTGTATTCATGAGTACAATATCTTTTTTCTATAAACTCAACTAATTATTGAGCGTACCTTTAAACAGCTATCTGCTCTCAGAAGGAAATCCAACAGCAGCCGCCTTCACAGGCAGTGACTTTCAGAAAGATCGTCAAAGCAGGATTTAAAAATTAGGGGTGGCTCAAGACTTTTGCACAGTATTTTCTGTCAAGTTAAATGACTCTTGTGTTTACATGTTCTAATAATTAGCGTATCCAGCAGTTGAAGGTCTTCAGATTGGTTTTACTCACCTGGACAATCACCTGTCTGCGGTAGAGCTTCATCACGTGTAGGCCGGTGCTTCCTCCACATCTGTAGGTTGTTATGGAGAGAAATGATTTATTGATACACAGAATTTAGATAGAGGCGGTTAGACTCCGATGGCCCGCCTCAGCGGAGCAGAACCCGGCAATGACAGGCATTGAGCTCAAAGAAAGGAAAAG